CATACCTCCCACCCCCAAGGCTGCAGCCATACTGTGTTACAGGCTTGGGGCTGGGGCAGGCTTGGACTCAGCCCTAGACAGGAAGGGCCAGCCCACCCCTCCCTGTCCCTTCCCTGCCTGACCCTAGAAGGGTGGGCCTGATGCACGTTCCTTCACTCCATGCCACATCTGGGGGGGTCTGAGCCACCCCCTTCATCCCAGTTCAGATTGACCCCCCACACTGTCCCCCAGACCCTCAGCACAAGCTCTCCAGCCATGCGCTGGCCTGTCCTCCCAGGGATCTGGGTGACTTCCATATGCAACTAGTAGCGAACAGCCAGGCCCTCATGAACCCTCTGCACTCCACGTGCCATTCTCCCATCCCCCTTTTGTACCTAATGTATGAAAGATCCACACTAATATCGCTGTAAAAAGAAGAGACAAATTAATATAGCTTATTCTATGAATATATCTGTATATAAAGTTTTCTGTATATTGTATAGAGCTGTGTATAAACTGAATGTAGAAGCACACCTCTGCCTCCCGTGGTCTCTCTTCCTCAGGCGGGGATGGAGGCAGGATGGAGAATCACAGTAGGCTAAGGGAATGTGGACCTCTGAGACCATTTCCTAGACAAGCTGGAAAACATAAGGAGAAACATGAGGATCCAGCCTTTTGTGCTCCTAAAGTTTTGTTAACATGTAAGTGCTAGGCCAGCAAGCTGCCTTAGCAGGTAAGTCAAGGTGCTTGTCATTAACCTGAGGTCCCAGCAATCCTGGTAGGTGAGAAGTGACTCCCAGGAAACTGTCCTTTGATCTCCACAGGGCTCAAATACATAAACACAAACTTAAAAATAAAACACAGATGTGGCTCACTAGCTTCTTGCCATGTCAGTGTCCAGGCCCAAGAAGGCACTGAGTTATATCAAGAGGGCAGAAGTCCCCACATGTGAAATCAACCACTCCGTGAATCTTGCCTATGTGAGATGTTCTGGGGAAGGGTTTGCACCCTTGAATCGCGTAGTCCTTTGCCCTCCTGGGAGAGCTCTGAGACACAAAGATAGGTAACCCACCCCAGATGCTGAAACAGCAATTGGAATACCAGGCTTTATCATGCTCACCCACCCTCTGCTCCCATGCTGTGAGCTAGGGCAGGAATGGGGATCCCAGAGGGGTAGCATTGAAGTGTGAAGCCACAAGCTCTATTAAGGGCTCCTCTGGGGGAGCATAAACATCTGGGCAGCCACAGAGACCGCAGCCAGGTCTGGATCCAGAGCACCGAAGCTGGGAAATGACAAGCAGTGTTGAGCATCCTACCAGCCTTAGACCCTGAATCTTCCACACAGCAGGGGGCACTGTTTCTCCAACTAGTCCCACTATGGCCTGCAGAGCCTGGTGTAGATGCCCTAGCCCAGCCAAGCCTTGACTTCAACTCCTTCCCACTAAAACTGCCCCCAAGTCTAGTATGAGTCCACATGATGAGGAGCTATCTGTCTCCCCCTGGCAACCTCTGAACAGCAGAAGATTATATCAGAGGTACAGACAGATGTAGGACCACATCCAGAGATTTGTCCTCCTGGCCTGTTACCCTCACCTAATAGTGGTTTCCCCTCTCACTAGTCTGCAATGATCCTGGCCCTAATGGAGGAGAAGCAGAGCAAATGACCGGAGAGATACTGTGGCTTGCCCAGAGTCGTCCATCAGATGGCAACCATCTCCACAGATGACAAAGTCTGGTACAAAAATCTTCCTAGGCTCCTTTACCAGCCCCAGCACCTCCCTGCTGTGGGATAGGCCCACCTTTGCCTGGACCCCAACTTCATCATGGTGTCTAAGCCTCTTCCTTCACCCGAGTCTCCAGACATGAGAGGCCCTGTGTATGACTGTTCTTTTGCTCTGTGGCCTAGTGGAATAGGGGCATTGGCAGGGTCTGAGTTCCCTGATTTGGGCCAGCTCCCTTGAGATTAAAAGGGACCTGCATCTGCCTGGTCTAACTAACCTCAGGGCTACCCTGGAGTTTAAAAGTGTTCATCATCTTGATAATGTGGTGGGTCTCCCCATCCTCAGCCCCTGATGAACTGACAAGATGAATACTCAAGTCACCAGCCCACCCTTAGACAGTAGACATTTAGGCATGGAACTCAGGTGTGAAGTACAGAGGAAAGATGTTCGGACAGTTGGGTTCTCAAAGGGATGCCATTTCTCTAGTGGTCCCAGGCAACTCACGTTATAAATTCATCTTTGAAAATTGCATGGTATGACTGGGTATTCACATTGTCTGTAGGCAGGCCCGACCCTGGTTGGAGGAGGGGCTGGAGTGCAGAATAACAATTGTCTTAGGGGAGTCTGCAGAGGAGACAAACCTCTGGATGCATGAGCTGGAAAAGAATGGACCTCTCAGTGTGGCCCCCTCCCCCCCTTGGTGGGGCCCCGGCTGGAAAGAGGGAGCTGTGGTCAGTGCCCACAGCTGGGCCTCCAGCAAAATCCCACTCTATATACCTAAGAGAGGCAGCTCTGAGAACCGCCCCCAGAGGGACAAAACTTCATTGTGAGGCACCCGCCAGCCTAGGCATCCCCTCCCCCAAGCCCTCTTCGGAGGGCCACCACAAGCCTGCTGACTGGGCCACATCTGGAGCTCAGGCTCTGGCAGCCCTTCCCCCATGCTGGCCACCGAGAAGAAGGAAGGCAGATGGGAGGATAGGAAAGCTCATGGGGTCTCACTCGACTACCTGAAAAGCTGGGCTTGTGCCCCACCTTAGTTTGGCAGCCACTGCCAGGAAGAGTCAAAAGGTCTAGGCTGGCTAGGTTAGTATCTTGATTTAATAGTAAGTTTTTTCCAGCCTTCTGGGCTGTTGTTGTTTTGTGTGTGTACTGTTTTGAGACAGGGTCTGACTTTGTAACACCCAATGGCATTGCACTTGCAATCTTCCTGCCTCAGCCTCCCAAGAACCTTGATTATAGGTGTGTTCCCCCATGCTGCAGGAGGCTGCTCAGCTTCATCTTTCCCAGACAGCGGCACAGCGGGGTAAAGCTTTCTGGTTCTGACTTGCTATGCCTAACGGTTCTATGAGGTTCTGCACAGAACCACTCTGTATTTCGATGATTTACTGGGTCTGGGATTCAGAATTCTAGATCTAGAATTCTGAAGTTTACAGATGCCATTTTCCATACATTCAACCTATACTTTTTGAGCACCTACTGTGTGTAAGGTGGTGGGTTTGTTTGTTTGTTTGTTTGTTTGTTTTTTGGTGTTGACATTATATCAGAGGCCTCATAGGAGTTTAAAAGTGTTCATCATCTTGATAATGTGGTGGGTCTCCCCATCCTCAGCCCCTGATGAACTGACAAGATGAATACTCAAGTCACCAGCCCACCCTTAGACAGTAGACATTTAGGCGTGGAACTCAGGTGTGAAGTACAGAGGAAAAATGTTCGGATAGTTGGGTTCTATGTGCAAAGCTACATTCCTATGAAAGTGAGACAGGCTGAGGTGGAGTAAACTGCTTTGGAAAGAATACTGATGTGTACATGGAGGCCTGGTGGCTGAGAAGAACTAGCCATTTGAGAACAAGCATCACAGATGAACTAACACGTGCCATGGCCCTGTGGGAAATGTGGGCCTGGCATGTTTGGGTAATGACAGAAGGTCTTGGTAATGACCTTGGTTTAGTGAGCCACGTAGAAAGAAGGTGAAGCTGAGGTCATTGTTTCAAGTAGAGAGAGAGGAGCCAAGGTCTGAGAAACCAGGGCAAGAGGTTTAGATGTTGGCGTGCAAGGGGAAACCACTGGTTTTATCAAGGCATGGTCTGATCTGACTTCTGCTTTATGAAGAATTATTTGGGAGGACTGCAGGGGAATCATTAGGGGAGATGCTGTGTAATGGGGCAAGATGGAGGTGAGAATCAAAGCAGGAGATGGAATGGCTTCATCCCTATGTAATTTCAGATTAAACATCAGGTAGGGTAGCAGGGAGTAAGAGTATGACTATTACTGAGTGGTGGTAGCACAGGCCTTTAATAGCAGCACACAGGAGGCAGAGGCAGGCAGATCTCTGAGTTTAAGGCCAGCCTGGTCTACAGAGTGAGTTCCAGGACAGCCTGGGCTACCCAGAGAAGCCCTGTCTTGAGGAAAAATAAAGAGTGACTCTCATTAAACTCTGAACCCTATTGACCTTGAAACTGTACTGCCTAATACTACCATGGTTGTACATAACTAATTAAGATCAAAATAATTAAAATAAAACAAAGCTGAAAAGTCAGGTGCTCAGTCCCCAGAGCCATATTTCAGATGCTCAGCTGCTGCTGTGGCCAACGACTGACACCTGGAGTACTTCCATCAATCCAGAAAGTTCTATATAGAAGCACTTCCCTAGATCGGCACTCCTTAAGCTTCAGTTTCCTAATATGTAAATGCAAATTGTAGTAGTTCCTTCCAGATGGGCGAGGTGGCAAATGCTTTTAATCTCAACTGTAGGGAGGCTGAAGGAGGCAGATCTCTCTGAGTTTAAGGCCAACTAGTGAGTTTCAGAACAGCCAGACCTACATAGATTTGCTGTGCGTTGGGCTGGGGGTGGGGGGTCGGGGGTGGGGATGGGGGATGGGGGTTGGGGTGTGGGGGTGGGGGATGGGGGATGGGGGGTGGGTAATGTTTCTCCTTAACAAAGACCTGCCGGGATTAACAGAGGTAACACCTATAGGGTACTCTGTGCAGGCCTAGCACAATACAAACATTCTTTTGGTGCCGGCACGTTGCTCTCTCTGGAATAGAGTGAGTACCGAAAGGAATAGGAGCTCTCTCTGAGATCTTGTTCTGGAACCCTACCTATCCCGGAAAAGAGTAAAAAGCGACTGATCCCACCGACTTTAGGGCAAGGCAGTACCCAGGACACCACTGCCGCGTCGAGCGCTCCCTGCAGGCGACGCAGTGCCCTGCTACCCGAGGTTGCGGCTCTGGGCGTACCGGCAGAGGGCGCTGAGGGCGGCGGGCGGGGCGCGGGGCAGGCGGGGGCCGGGCTAGGGCTGCGGGTAGCGAGCGTGAGGAGAGCCTGGCCGGACTGTACCGGGAGCCCAGCCGGGACTGTCGCGCGGGCCGCGCCGGCAATGCCGCGCCCCCGGGCCAGGCTGTAGCGGGGCTGCGGCCGGAGCGCACGCGCCGGACAGGCGGGCCATGGAGGTGGTGGACGAGACCGAAGCGCTACAGCGCTTCTTCGAAGGTGAGAGGCCGTGGGGCTAGCTGGGCGGTCAACCTCCTGCTCTGGGATAGGCCAGCCGATCTCCCTGAGGACAGGACTCCCATGGGGTTACCACCATGCAAGGACCCCCCAGAAAGCTTCCTTTTAGTCAGGGACTCTACTCCATCCAGACTGGCAACAGCGAGGTGAATGGCTTCGAGATTGGGAATCTCTAGGAGGTGTCTGCCCACGCCCATTGGACTTGGGTTTCTCCGAATCGGCCTCCAACACTCAACTTCCTTGGGGATGGGTTCCCTTCCGTGCTCGGCCCTCCTCCTTGAAGCCTTTCGGGTCCTGCAGTCCCCCTGAATGGTGTTACTCCAATCCTTAGCACACTTCTGTAGTCTGAGGACGCTGTACTCTCCATTCATGCCAGCCTCCTGCTCCATCTATCCTGGGACTACCCTTTTCACTTAAGGCTGGGACTCCTGAGCCTAGCCTACCTCCTAGGAACAGGGACCTTCTGACTGCTTCTTAGAGGCTGAGACATCCTTGGAGACTGTCACCTGTCTTGGGCAATGCTGCTTCCTCCACTAAGGCTGAAATTCTCTTTTAAGCAGCTACTGCTTTCTTGGCTGGGGCAGGACCCTCTCTATAGTATGCTTTCCTAGAGATGAAACCCTCTTGAAGCTGGCTGATATGTCTGCAACCAGCTAACTCTGCCCTAGGAGACTTCCAATACTGTAAGTGGTACCCCATCAGCCCTATGGGGTACCTCAGGGTTGGGTCCCTCACACCTGACCCAGGAGCTGACCTGGCCCCCCTCACCTTGACCTGAACTTCTCCAGTAGGATCTGTGTATGTTCATATATATATATATATTTTTTTTTTTCCCTCAACCCTGGATTGATTTTAGAGTCTGGTCCTAGTCTAAATACTGCCTCAGACTTTCCTGAGCAGCCCCTGCCCCTCCTCCCTGAAAGCTGGGTTCAGGAGGGAAGGGACTAGTGTGGGAGGGGGAGGGGAAGTGCAGGATGACATCTCCCAGCCTGCTGGGTTTCTCAGACTCTTACTGGAGCATGAGGCCAGACACTTGAGCCCCTTTTGTATCTATTCCCACTATGTTGAGAGCCTCTTCCCTGCCTTACCCTCTTCCTAGTCCCTAAGCTAACATCTTGCTCCTAAGTACTGGAAGAGGCTCCCATGAGCAGAACCTGTTGCCCTAGACATACCAGGCTGGGACTGTGAGTTGCAGGTTGGAAATCAAGACCCAAGTTTAAAGCCTAGTGCCCAGTTCCTGAGAGATTTCTCCACGCAAGAGGAGGACTTTATTTGTTTCACTTTCTGTGACTTGGGGAACCACAGAATGGACTTTTGTCCGTTCCTACTTGCTGAGCACCGCAGGAGAGGACAGCCCCAAGTCTCAGCTAACTTCACTCTAGGATGCTGAACACCCAGACAGAACAAGTCTTGAGGCCTCAAAATGCTAGGCTTGAACTAGATTCAGTAATCAAGTCTGAGGCAGCTATGCCGTTTGAGGGTGCTAGACAGCACCCCTCAGTCCTAGGAGTCCCTGGGAGCTTCCCAACATTGTGCAATAGGTTAAGAGTGCTCAGGGACTTTGGGAGTAAAGGCCTAGGAGAGGAGAGAAGTCAGTGGTCCTTGTTGGGTACGAGTACTGATTAGGGGTGCCTTGTGCCTGCTTGGTGCCCCTAGTGACCCATGAACCAAGACTCCTTGATTTCTGAAGGTATCCCTAAGTTCTCTCTCCTCACCCTACCCCCACCTGGGCTCTGGGCACAGGGGTGGGCCTAATTGGCCTGGGCTCCTCACTTCTGAGCCAAACTTTCCCTCCTGGCCTGAGGAGGGGGGTGGTGGATGGAAGGCTGACGCCACAGCTTAGCCATGCAGCTGCCTGGCAGGGAGGCTGTGCTGCTCCCTCCAGAGAGATAAGAGGAGACTCAAGAATGTCTGTGGGGAGCAGGCGGGGTGTGGGGCCTGCTCTGGAGGGCCAGGCGTCAGCAGTCTTCCAGAGCCTGGGAATAGGGGCAGGGTGGGTGGACACCTGGTTCAAGTCCTGTAAGGATGTCTGAGAGGGAAAGGCCTTGGCAGGGAATCCACTGGGTGGTGAGATGGATGTTCACGCTGTAAGGTGAAGGAGAAGGGCGAGCACAGAGCAATGGTGTTCTCAGAAACATGAGTGCGCCCTACTAGGAAGTGTGAAACTTTGTTTTAGGGATGCCGATGAGCCCCTGGTGACAGTGTATGCCCTCATCACACTCAAATGGCAGCCCTTGAGTCCTCATCCAGATTCCCACATGGCCTCATCCATTGCCTCTAGGCAGTAGGTAGAAATCTCCATGGTTTGGATTCTGGACTAGGAGACAGACTTGCTCTTCTCTTACAGAAGGAGAAATCTAAAGAGTCTTCTGTCATGGCTCCCCTAGTTCAGCACACAGGGGCATGTCCTGCCCTGCTCTGGGTGGATAGTGAGACTGGGGGCTAAGGCGCTTTGGGCCTTTGGTGGGAGGCTGGGACAGAGCGTCCCCCTCGAGGCTGGTACAGCTGGGTCCCCGTGACTGCCCAGTTAATCCCCTGGAGATAGGCACCAGCAGTCCAGAGTGGAAGGCACAAGGCCTGTAGAGAGTGGACCCTCCAGACAGGATGCATTGGCTCCCAGCAGGTAACTGGGTATAGGGGATGGTATATTTCTCTTCTGCTTATCAGTGGGGGCCTTGTTCTCTTAGAGCCAAGTCAGGGATGAAGCAGAACCATGTTCAGAGGACTTGACCAAGATCTCAAAAGGCTGATTCATGCGGGGACACTGAGAGCTGAGATCCTAAGCAGAGTCTCCCTGCGGTTTTTGTTCCCTCACCTGGCACATAGAAGTCAGCAGCAGAAGTCTCTGTGGGTGCCCCCAGCTCTGATGAGCCTTCTGTCCCAATCCTGGGAAGGGGGGCGTTTTAGAGTATGAACAGAGGATTCTGGGTGGAGGCTGTGCTGATGGTGATGCTAGCAGTTCTTGTTGCTTAGCTAGTGTTCCCCAAAGCAGTTTTATGTAGGGAGTAGTTTGGATACTGAAGGACTTGGGTCTCCAGCAAGTTTTGATAGCCTGCTGAGGGTTTGGTGGGCTGATACAGGCCTTAGAAGCCTCCAGGGCTGGAGGAGGAGGCCTGAGTTTCACTCTTTTTGAACCCAAGGGGCAGCCTGGACTGATACCTTCCTATTTTACTGGTAGGGTAAGTCTGTAGGAGCTACTGCTGCTTCTCTTCCTCCTTCTCTTCCTCTTTTTCTTTCTCCTCTTTCTTCTTCTCCTCCTCCTTCTTTTAGACTAGGTTTCTCTCTTTATCCCTGAATGTCCTAGAACTCACTTAGTAGAGCCAGCTGTCCTCAAAGAGGACAGCTCACAGAGATCCACCTGCCTCTGTTTCCCAAGAGCTGGGTGTGATTAAAGGCATTCACCACCACCACCCAGTTTAGAGTAGGAGCTTCTAATTGGACCATTTTTAGGCAACTAACAAACACTAATTCATGGTTTATGTTGGGATGCACAAGGAGTTTTGGTGAGAGGAGGAAGGGAATGGACCCATTTCTTAGGGGCCAAAACTGAGGCTCTGAGAGACAAGGTTAGCTGGGTGGCAGTCTAGGCTGACTTTAGTCTCCAGCTTTCTCCTCTGTCATCAAGGAGAAGCAACCACTTAGGGATAGCATCCTTCATCCCTTTCAGAGGGCAGGAGTCTTATGTGGACGCAACTGGTAACTCAGGAGGGAAGACACCACCCACCATCCGCATAGCTGGGCTGTGAGATGGGGGTGGCTCTATGGCCTCTGTCACCTGTCTATCATTGATGATGCACCCAGGAGCAGGTCGGTAGGGAGGCACTCTATGTAAACTTCCCTGGAGAAGAGACAAGAGGCCTCCTGGGTCCACCTGGAACTCACCCCCAACTCCACTGAGCACTTGGCTACCCACCCCCAGTCTCACAAGACTTCTGTCCTAGCCTCAGTAGCTATAGTGAGTTGATGGCTAGGCCCACCCTTTAGGCCCTGAGCCAGGTAGGAGGGGAGAGATAATAGAGGGTCTGACTCATCCCTATTTCCCCACGCCTATCCCAACCACACAACACAGGGCAGGCAGGAAGTGTTCCCTGCCAATGAAGACCATGATTGAACGATCTATGTATATGTAAAGGAGGGGGGGCATAGAAAGCCACTCTGGGTGTGGTTGAGATCATATCAGGGATCAGGAGAGTTGGTTACCAGTCCCTTGGCCTTAGGCTTTTCCTCAGTCTGGGGATACCAGACTGAATAGAGTACCCCTTGAGGCCCTAGGCAGGGCCAAGAAGGCTATTTGGTAACAGATTACTCTGGGTAGAATGACATCTCCCTAGGAGACCTGCTCAGACAACTCTCAAAGGGTTACAGCTCTGGGGGGTGGGAGGTGGGGTTGGGGGCTGGCAGCAGAGGCTACTGGGTAACCACCAAGCTATGCTGTTGATTGGCTGTTGCCCTCGGACTTTGCCCTCCCTGATAAGAACAAAGCAGAAATCATTAACTGGATTATTAACTAGGGTGGCCCCGCCCTGAGTAGGCAGCCTGCCTTCCCTTCCTCCTACTCATGAACTAGGTCTCAGGCATTCCACTGTACCTCAGTTTCCCTCATTTCAAAGTCTCTAGCCATTATCACTGGGTGTCGGTGTCCTACTGATCAGGAGCTGGAATAGTTGATTCGAGGATTTTGTGTACACACTAGCAGGCAGAGGGAGCTGCAGCTAACCCTGTTATCCACATAGCCCGTCTCTTGGGTTTGTCAGTACAGTTGGCTGGGGTTTTGTCTCAGCTATCAAAAGGCCACACAACTGGACTAGTTAATGGTCTTCTCTCAGATCTTCTGTGGGGTTGGGTAAGATAGTGCCTGTGAAGGGCCTCAGGACAGTCCCCTGCTTGTAAACCGCTCCATGAATGTCAGCCCTATTTAACTTACCTCCCATAGGCTTGCACCGCCCCTTTGCATGGCCTAGGATAGGTAGCATGTACCCATT